TTCCACAACTAGAGTACTATTACTGAGATGGCCTTTTGATGGATCCTAGACCTCTTGCAGCTGGAAGTACAAGGAGGTCCTTCCCAGTAGATCTTAGGTCACATAGGGGAAGAGTGGAATGGGGAGAAGTGCTCACTCAGATAATAGTGTCTCAATCCATTTAAGGAGAGACTCAGCCCTCAGATAACCAGGTTCCTAGCTGCTTACGGCTTATACATCAAAACCTTGAATTGTGCTCGCTAGTTAACTGCCAGCCAGCACAGATCTTTGCGGGCTGCTGTTCAATTGTCCCTGAGGACCAGACCCAGCAGAACTCTGGCAGCTACATTTTGCACTAGCTGCAACTTCTGAATACTTTTCAAAGGCGGCCTCACGGAGAGCACCTTGTAATAATCTAAAAAGGAACAGCTGTAGCTGGAAATAGGCACTTGGTGCTACTCAAGCCACCAGGGCTTCCAGCAGCTGTGAACCTGCCCCCATCCAGCACACTACTCCCTCCATACGCTGGTCAAGCATGGTTTAGGAATACTTTTCAACTAGACAAAACGTAATGGCAAAATATATTTAAAACACTCACCTGAGAAAAGTGATCATTGTAGAATGCTGCCAGTGAAGTTGCACCACTCGCTGTATGGGGTCACATGGCAACGACTGGCTTGAACTAATCCCAGGCAGCAACTGCCCACTCAAATGGAGCAGCAGGTCATAAATAGTCTTTATATCTTTACCAAGGTTTTGTCTAAGCTTTTCATCAGATGGAGCCATTTGAATTTTACAGACATCACTGAGCAAAGAAATAAAAACAACTCTATTTCATTATTAAAAGCAAACTAAAATTAAAACACATTAATGTGATAACTCTCTGGTTAGAGATTTAATTATGAAATATGTACTCCACTATAGTGATTCTGGTGCTCATCTAAAGACACCAGTGTACATGTAGAGCTCTGGGCCCTAATCTATACACAAACACTATATAAAATGCATCTGTGTTGGACTGTTGGATTGTATTTCTGTCTTCTCTGATAAATTAAGGAATAAAAATAAAAATTCTGTAAGATGCCTTTTACAACCATATCATAATCAATTAGTTTATCTATGTGCTGTTAGATCATTAAAACTCTTTTAACAGGTAACTAGTAATAAATCTTTCAACAAGGAAGCCCTGCTTTACAAGAATTCTATTGCCTTCCATTGCTATTTTTATTCTAGATTTATTTGATCAGCATTATTATTATGCACCCCTCTTAAATTTATTTGTAAAAAAATATATTCAAAAGAACATCTTGAACATCCCTACTAGCAGTCCATGTTCAGGTAGGAAGGTAGAGCAGAGATGGAATGGCACAGGTGAAATCTGCCCCAAATCATAGCATACCACTGGCATTCAGTTTTTGACACACATTTTCTTTCAGCCACCAGGCCCTATAACCTCCCAAGATCTTAAAAAGAGAACTGCCAGCCAATTTTTAAAAAATTAAGGAAGAATACAAATTAATGTTTGTATAGATAAAACACATATAGTATATATGGTGCGTGAATATTTTCTGTTCCTCCTCAGAATATAAGTCGTGACAGAATACCCAATGGAGCTAGACACAACCTGTGCACATGTATATGTACAAAATGTCCCAAATTTAACATTTACGGTTATTTAATCAAGTTACTTTTTGTTTAGAAAATGCATCTGTTGGGCTGTAGTGAACCTCCACAAGTGAAGAAAATTAATATACAAATTTAAGCCTTTCTAGCTAATGGAAGACAAAGGCAAATAAGTAAAAAAAAATTTGCCTCGCTATATAAGTCTTAAAAAAAACACACCAAGGTATAAAGCTATCAAGCTTTGGTAGTATTTTTAGGACCCTGGGAATCAGGTGACTCAAGGGAAGAATTTCAGTCAATGGGTGGTATTGAACTAAGTTTTAATCAGAGCAGACCCACTTCAATTAATGAACACAATTAAGTTAGCTGCAGTAATGTCAGTGGATCTACTCTGAGTAACACTTAGTTCAATACCACCTGCTATAACTAGAGGAGAGCAAACATATTATATATACTCATTTTTTATTATTTTAAAGAGAGATGGTGATCAGAAAGTTAGCCTGTAACCAAATCAAGGCACACATAAAGCTGTGTCCCCTTTCAGCTGTTCATGCCTCATTACACAGGTCTTCATTATTTTGCTTAAACTAGAGGTGTATATTTGTGGCTTTTCCTCTCCCAGTCTTCAACCTCCTACCAAGATCTCAGTAAAATTCCACTGCAGGTATTTTAGCAAAACAGTTCTTTTAATCAAACGAAAAAGACATTCACTGTTTAAAAGGTAGGAAGTGTGAGAAAATAATGAGCTAGTACCGTCTTAAAGAATGTGGAATGGAAATGGGATTTGGCCCTTTAGACCAACCAAAGAGAGTAAACCAATTCTGAACTGCTGAAATGACTTTCTCATAAAAAGCATACTCCTCTGTGCCTTCATCAGGAAAAACCAATAATTCAAATTTGCTTCTAGCACGTCTAGTTGGATAGGTAGATTCACTCTTCAGCCTTTCAAGCATCTTTTCCAATTCTGCAGAAAAATATCTGAATTTAGTTGTAATTATACCACAAAGTAGTAGTAGAGCACTTACTTTCTTATACGTTTGATTTCTGCTGGAAATAAAACCAAGGACTTTGGATGTGTTTGTACACTGTGGTGGCTGATCAGTAGCTACACTACTATGAAGAAATCATTAGCTATCAGAGCAGACCAAATTAATGTATAGCTCCATACTGGAACATGATTAATTAGATCAGCTGATAATAAATGCATTGACATTTCTTCAGTTCCACTACACATTTGTTGGTTTACTAAGTAGAGATGTGCACTCATCACAAGATTCAGCGCTTCAGAAAACAGTCCCAAATCAGCTCAGGCTGCTTTAGAGACTACTCAGCACTTCAGATGTGAATCTCGGTTCAGGAAAAGCAAAGCATTGTGCCTTCCCACTATCATAGGTAAATCACTCAAATTTCTAGCTTTATTTCATTTTCTTTATGACAGTCTCAAATGAAGTTTGCAGGTATATGATTCCCTCCTAGCTGGGTAAAAGCTGCCAAATTCCAGACAAAGAGGTGCTGGCCACGTCTAAAGTTTGCTTTTTATTTTATTTTTTAAAGGAACAAATCTCTTTTCTTTTCGACAGAATCTGGTGTCATTTGTAGGTGTGGAGTGCCATTGTGGGGATGAATGCTGCCAAATTTCAAAAGGATATCTGCAGTAGTTTTCCTGCAACTGCAGGCCTTAACAGTGCTGAGGTAGTTAAAATCCCCTCTATTGTTTTGTGAGCTTCACCTGTTGGGTAGAGCATGGAGCGATGCTGCAGGTTCAATCCCTGTATGGGACAGTTGCATATTCCTGCATTGCAGGGGGTTGAATTATATGATCCTCAGGGTCCTTTCCAACTCTACAAGTCTATGATTTTCAAGCAAGTACCAATAGCAGAACTGAATCTCTCCCTCAAAGAACTGTGGTTGGCCAGCCCTGCTAAAATCATTCCCTCTGAATAGAAGCCAGATTGTCGATTTCAAAACTACTGCTAGATTAGACTAATGGTCCATCTAGTCCAGTATTTATTTATTGTTTAACGTATTTATATTTGGTCTTTTAGGGTGAATCCACACAAGACAGCTAATAAACTAGCTGATATTCTTTTTCTCAGCAGCAGCATCTGTTGAAACTTTCTAATATTGATTCCCAAGAATGTGATATTTGTTTTGATATCCTGTCCAGGAACATACATAAAATCTTGATTAGCATAGTTAAGTCACTTTTGTTTGTTGTATGAGTAGGGCCATAGCCACTGCATAGCACATCTCCTAAACAAGAATACCTCTTAAATCTACAAGTGTCTGGAAACCTATATAGCTATAGCCATGCTGCAGGATTTGGAATCGAACGCAGAAGCTAGTAACTTCAGACAAACCCTGGAAATCTAAATTGTCATTAACAAACATTTCTAGCCCTCATGGTTGTAAAGAAATCCTGTATATTATACCTGCAAGAGAATCTTCAGAGTTGGTGATTCTCTCAAAAGTACCAGAAGATATTTGCGAACATGATCCTGGAACATAGCATGGATGCTGCAAAGTTTCTCCGGTGCTGTAAATTATCTCATTACAATCTACAAATTTGATTAAAATGTAACATTACATGTTTTACAATACTTTCTGCAATTAATAAGTACAAAAGCATTTGCTTTCCTCCCCCCTGCTAATTGCGTTCTACATACTATAGATGGGCAGCCCATGGGCCATGTTTGGTCCTCATATCTGTTATTGAGCCCCCTAGCATTCATCTGACACATTTTCTCCCCCTTCATTATATTCTGCATTCTCTCCTGTCCCAAACAACCTTCTAAATTACTAGTTAGGAGAGCAGAAGCATTGAGCAGCAAGTGGAGGCAGAAAAGGAAGAAGTAATCCTAGATCTGTACATCATTAGAGCTGGAGAAGCCAGGGTTGGCTGGTGAAGAAGCAACAAAGAGGAACAAAAGAAGGAAAGGGTGATCCTGGACAAGCTGGGGGAATCTAAGAGTTTGTGGGTTGAAAGGGGTACCTAAGCCCAAAACTTATTCCTAACAGGTTTGGCTGTTGGGTGCGCAAGCTCCTCCGTCCTTTCAAGTTCTCATATTCCTCCTCCTCCAAATACTAGTTTGTGGTGGCAGCTATGCAGCAACAGGATTGGTAGGACTGGTGTTGGCTGAGAGTGGAGCAGTGGGAATGAAGAAGGAAGTGGTGGTCCAGGAATCTGAGAGGAGAGCCTTTTCCAATGCTAGAGGTCGCTCATATTGCTGCTTCTCTGGATGCAAAATTTGCAAAGCAGTCAGCTCCCTTCACCCCACATCAATTTCTCAGCAGCATCAGGAAAGTCCCGATTGGAGGCAGGGAAGGAAGGGTGGGTGTAGAGGGGGGAAAGCATATATAAACAGCTGGCTGGGGTATGTGTGTGGATGGATGGATGGAAAGTAAGGGGATTAGGGAGAGAGAGAGAGAGAGAGAGAGAGAGATATTGTGGAGAGTTACCTCACTTTATATGTGGAGAACCAGCTTCCATTTACCGCTACTGATTTGCATCTTCTGCAAATTTATTCATTCTTGATTTACTCATTGATCCTCCTCTCTCTCTCTTTCTCTCTCCTCCTGCTTATTATCTGTTTTTCTTCATTTGAATAACACTGGGCATTTTAAGTTTTCACTGCTACTCTTTCCCACCCACAGAAAGTATCAGCTTGTATAGGACATACAATTGAAATGCCGTTCGGTAGCCAAAGAAAATTAGAAGCCCTTTTTAAGGATAATCTCACTACAATGTGTTAACTATGATAAGCATTTGAGCTATCCTAAGTAGATAAAACCTCCTCTGCTCACCACTTCTCAGGGTAATTTGTTGGTTGGTAAGGTGGCATGCCAGGTAGGGATACACAGTAAGGAGGCAATTCTCTGCCGTTGCAGACACCTGAAGTGGAAATCTAGAAATACAACAGGAGGTATTTTCAATTAACACATTCAGTTTCTTCAGTACCAGGGCCCCAAACCGAAGACTGCACACATTGTAATGCAAGCATGAGAAACCTGTGACCCTTCAGTAGTTGTTGGACTCCAGCTCCCATCATCCCTGACCAGGGGCCACCCCGGCTGGGGGTGATGGGTACTGGAGTCCAACAATATCTTGATGGCCTTTTTCAATGCATACATTCATATGCCTGCACATAATGAAGGTAGAAGGGGAAGCAATAAGCACACCAGGCAACAGATAAAAACAGCAAAACAAATTTTGCCTAAAATGGGAAGCCTGTCATAATACCTCCAGAGGAAATGTATGTATGTAGCTTGAGGAAAGCTGAGCTATGGAACTCCTTGCCACAAGGAAAATCCTTGTACAAACCATTTAGAAATTTTGTAAGACTGATTAGATATTAGTAAAAAAATGATGTAATTGCTAGCTGATTATGCCAAGCTCTGCCTCAATCTTGTGACTAGTGGCTTTCAGTAATTTTCAGCCCTGAGAATAGAAAGCCTGAGAATAGAAAGCACGTTTAATGTGCTTAAAGACAGACAACTCCCCAAACAACAGCATCACCTGCTTGATAAGCTTTTCAGGAGTTTATGCATTCATAATCAGGTTTGTTATTTTGCTACACCTTTAAGACCATGGGTTGGGAAAACATCTCTTGAGAGCATTTATGGCATAATTGCTGGTTGTTTTAGTCTTCTGCTCCCTGACATTATTTCATGGGATGGGTTTTTAATGTTTTCTAGAAATGTTTATCCGTTTTGTTAGGCATCTGGGGAAGTTAAAATTCTGTGGGGTAGAAATATAAATTTTATACTGTAATTGTGCATCATGAATATACAAAAGCTTATTTTAAAACAATACTAATTGAGCAACACTCCAAAAACAGGGCATAACTATTAACTCATTCCTGGTCTTCAGGTTTCACTTTATTTACCCAGGCTTTTGCTAGTTAATTTATTTATTATATTTATATCCCACCCTTTCTCCAAGGAGTTCAAGGTGGCATGCACGCTTCTCTTCCCTCTAAATGTTATCCTCACAACAGCCCTGCCAGGTAGGTTAGTCTGAGAGACTGTGACAGGCCCAAGGTCACCCAGTGAGCTTCTTGGCTGAGTGGAGATTCGATCCCTGATCTCCCACGTCCTAGTCGAACACTCTCGCCACTTGATGTTGGAATGCTTAATGTTCAGCAACAATATCTGAATCAGTGTTTACTGAATTATTATTACTTCTTTTTAGCATGCTTTTATTGTTTGTGTTATAATGTTAATGTGTGTGTTGCACATAGCCTTGAGCTCCTTTGAAGGAAGCCCAATTTATAAATATATTAATATAAATTTTAAAAACTGGGAAACGCCCAAGAAATTACAATGGTGAGAAGGAGTAGCAATCAGCTACATGCTTGCTCACCTCCCTCTGTTGCTGTTTCTTTTCTAACTTCACTACCAGCCCACAGACCCACCTTCCAGGGCTATTCTTCTAGAAAAAGAGGCGCCAGAACTCACTATAAACACCTTCCTCTTTCTCTTAGCATGGCAATGGCAGCCACCTGAGAGCCGCTGGAACTCACCTGAGAGGTTCTGGAACCCACCTCAGAACTGAGTTCTGGTGAGTTCCCCCTGGAAAAAAAGCCCTGTCACTTCTCTCTTTCATGGCAAGGAGAAGGAGAAAGTGTAGCTGGAGGGTCCAAAAGACCAACAGGTCAGTCAGGATGAGCTGAGCCAAGATAGAAAGCAGTCGATATAAAGAGTTTTTGTGCTGAGCATGCCCCATTCCTTGCAACTGTCTTCTTGTTTTTTGTCTCCCCTCTCCCCCTAGTCCTGGCACCTGGTGTAACTCTCCTGGACCTATTTCTATACCACAATGAACTTGAGCTATGCTGTCACACCTCCTATTAAAAGGGCTACACAGGGTCCTTTTCCTCCTCTTCAGTCCCACTTCTGCAGGTGAGTGGGAAAGAGGAAACCACTAGTGAAAAGGTGGGGAGCTATCCCCTCTTCACTCAGGTGGATGGATTATTTGGCCACTTCATTGGCTCAACGAAGTTAGGTTTTTTTCCCTTCAGGCCACCAAAATCCTGGAACCAGCACTGGGTCACTTGTTCTTTGGAATTCTCTCTATGTAGTAAATCAACCATTTCAAACAGTAGCATTTCAAATGAGATTTGCCCTCAAGACATAATCTGACTACATCCTTCTCCATTTTTTATACACTTCCCCTCGGCTAAGTAACATCTTTTAAGAATTTTCCCAAGTTATTTCTACACATAGAAGTACCTAAATGTGACTACCTGTTCTTTTCTCCATCAACAAAAAAGACATTCTTCAAAAAGGAAATTGGCTTTGAAGAACAGAAACTGACATGGCAGGTAAATCCAATATTGTTTCCTTCTGATGTTACTTGAATTACATTGCCATTTGGAAAATCCACTGTTAAAGGATTAATCTGATGAACATCCTCTCCAGAGTCCGATTCTGAAATTTCAACTTGCAAGACTGTCGAACTATTAAAAAAAGAAGAAGAAGCAGTAAGATATGTACAGTGGTGCCTCACAAGACGAAAGTAATTCGTTGTGCAAGTTTTTTCGTCTTGCGAATTTTTCGTCTTGCGAAGCACGGTTTCCCAAAGTCTTCAAAATCACCAAAGTCTTCAAAAACCTCAAAAAAGGCTACCACACCGCGTGCTATGAGTTGCTCCTCGAAGTCACCCTGGGTATTAATGGTTTTAAGAAAAAGGAAACAAACTTGCAAGACGTTTTCGTTTTTTTTGTTTTTCGTCTTGCGAAGCAAGGCCATAGGGAAATTCGTCTTGCGAAGCAACTCAAAAAACGAAAAACTCTTTCATCTTGCGAGTTTTTCGTCTTGCGAGGCGTTCGTCTTGCGAGGTACCACTGTAGTCCCAAAGGATCAACGTAACAAAGCTGAAGAATATATTTTCACAGTTGTTTTCAGAGAATTACTTTAAGGGGGAAAATACATTTTATAATTAGCTGTCAGATGAGAATCCTTTGAGTAAAGTAACAGCTAATTTGTATTAAACAAGCACTTCTTACTTGGGAGTTCATAAACAAAAGGTGAAGGACTTCAGGTTATATTAAATCTTATTCATAATTTTCAAAGTTTATACTATTACATTATCCAGCTTCTTGAAGAGTAAAATTTAGAGTAACACCAAGCTGATTTTGCATATTGCTTTGTTGAGTCCATTTGCAAAGCCACTTCAGCTAGGAACACCATTTAGTGTTTGTACAAAGAACAATTTTCAGCAAAGTCAAGGGCTTGAACACTCAGTAGAACTTCCTTCTTTATGTGGAAAGGCACAACCCCATGATATATCACAGCAATGTCCAACAGGTTGATCACGATCAACAGGTCGATCCCCGAATGATCATGGTCAATCGCGGGCTCCCTTTAAATTGCTGGCTGTAATTAGAATTGTGGTGGAAGTCTCTGCACCCCGTCGCCCTCGTTCTGTCCATGAAATGGGCAATCGTTTGTGATACTAAGCTTATCTTTATTACTTTGCTCGCTTGTTATCGTCACAGGTTTATTTAAGCATTTTATGACCTACCTCCCTAAAAAAAAGCTCCACCACTTTGTTTTCCCCTATAACTTTCTGTTCCGCCTGCAATGATATATCAGTATATCACAAGCTGATACCCTGTTCAAGTTCTAAAAGAGGTTTATCATGTGACGTGATGAGTTATTTAACAAACACACATCCAAAGCCCTCCAGGGCATGCATGAATAGTTCCTTAGATCCAATTCATTCGAAATAACAAAGGAATGCATAGATCAAAAACCTATAAAATCACCAACTAATATGTTTTGGTGAACACAATCCTACAATTAGCACAATCCTACAAGGATAGTTGAACCTCCACAGCACCAAAAAATAAAAATAAAATACAACCCAAAGGTTTGGGCAGCTGGAGCTTAAGTAACATCATAGGCTAGGTAGTAAATGGTATATAACTAAATGGCAAACATGTCTAAGATGTTCCTTATTAATCAAATTCTAGATATGGTGCTGTGTACAAGCAGAGCTGTCCTGGCAGCCCTGTGGATGCTACAGAAAGAGCCTTCAGCAGACCAACTTCCCTTTCTGCTCAACTTAATGAATTTCCAGAAAAAAAGCCCGTAGCACGTCAAACCAGTCCAGCTTAGGCTTAGATGAGATGATGTCTGGTCCTGAACCAGCACGCAACGGGAGCTGATCCTCCATCAAACCAGGATCTTATATGTTGACATCCTTAAGTCCAACTTGTTTGCTACAGTGGTTCGAATTATCGTTTATACATGAGCAACTACTCTGCAGTCTTGAGCTTCATTACAGCAGTGGTGGGGAACCTCCAGCCCACAGGCCTAATTAAGCACATGGGGCCTCAAAGGTTGGCCCACCTTTTGGGCGCATACTTACTGTATCTTCTCCATGTCTGGCATCATAAGACATCAGGCACTGGAAAGTTGGAAAACAATTCAAGCGGCAGTTCCAAAAAAAAAGACTCAAAGCACTCTCTGTAGGCATGGCTTGAATTTGGCACTTTTTCAATTAAGTAATTGAAATTCTGATGTCATGCAAAGTGAAAAGAAGGCACCAAATTCAAAAAGCTCTGCTTCAAGCTACGGATACAACAGAAG